GTGTGTGTGTGTGTGTGTGTGTGTGTGTGTGTGTGTGTGTGTGTGTGTGTGTGTGTGTGAGAGAGTGTGTGTATGTATATATATGTGTGTGTGTGTGTGTGTGTGTGTGTGTATATATATATATATATATATATAAAATGTTTAGCTTTTGCTGTATGGGATAGGTGTCTGTTTGACTGCATGAATTTCATTGTTTACAATATGTGATCCTCTCACCAAATGTGTCCAACACCAAATAATTCATTAATATTTCATATCACAATTTTAAGCAGGCTTTAATTCTCTCAGTGTGACCCGTGTTGCTGCTCGGTGGCTCTCTATGGTGCTCCACTGCTTGTTATTAGCATGACGGGAGTCTTAGCATGGGTGCCGTTATTCTGTAAATCAAGGGTTTTAACTCGACCTGAATCTGTCATGTGGTCTATTATCCTAAACTAAGCCAAATAAAAGACTTTTCCAGTTGTTTCCAGCTGCCGTGTACACTTAACTATATGTGACCCTGGACCACAAAACCAGTCGTAAGAGTCACTTTTTTTAAAATTGAGATTTATACATCATCTGAAATCTGAATAAATAAGCTTTCCATTGATGTATGGTTTGTTAGGATAGGACAATATTTGGCTGAGATACAACTATTTGAAAATCTGGAATCTGAGGGTGCAAAAAAAATGAGAAAATCGCCTTTAAAGTTGTCCAAATGAAGTTCTTAGCAATGCATATTACTAATCAAAAATTAACTTTTGATATATTTACGGTAGGAAATTTACTAAATTTCTTCATGGAACATGATCTTTACTTAATATTCTAATGATTTCTGGCATAAAAAAAAGATAATTTTGACCCATACAATGTATTGTTGGCTACTGCTACAAATATACCCCAGCTCCTTTGTGGTCCAGGGTCACATATAACAGCATACAAGCTTCACAGGCAGTTTAAGCTAGCTGGTATTGCAGACTGAATGCTCTCCGCTGGCTAGCGCTCATGAAGTGCAGTTATTGTAGACTGTGTCTAGAGTTTCAGCTCTGCTGGCCTGCTGAAGGACGTCTACTGCCCTCAGCTCACATGTGTTTAATATCTCTGCAAGTACTGCAAATAGAGTGAAAAGAGATAGAGATACTAAAAATATTATCGTCAGAGTGCGCCCTCGTATACATTTACCATGGTTTTAATATGGTACAACTAGCTGTAGTAACATAGTGTTTTGGCAGAAGATTCAGGGTAAATACTCATGTAATATTGGGAAAGTAAGGTTATAATTTCATGATAATTTGTAGTAGCCTGCAGTTGCTAAATGTTTAAGCTATACCAAATACTGTGTTTTGAATGTTATATTGATTTTACCTGTGGTCACTATGGTCATACTACAAATATCCTTTTTATGTTTACTGTGCATGAACTATGGTAAATTGGAAATGAGGGATGTATGTACTGTAGCTTGTTAGCATACATAAGCGAACAAGCTAAATATTAAGCTTTAATAAGTTATTGTGCTTGATGAGGGAAGTTTTTGATTATTTTCCCAAACAAAAATGGTATTGCATTGCCATGTTTGTTTGCACGTTTCTTAATACCACGGTATATGAATATGTTAATCATCTTTACCATGGTATTTAAATTATTACTAATGTATATAGTATATAATATAATATACATATAAACATTTGTTTTCCAGATAAAGCATCCTTAAAACATTATGCATTTACTTGTGTAAACTGTTGTTTTTATTGTATATATAAAACGAAATAAAAAATAGGAAATATAAGTAAACTTATCAATATTACATTTATATAGGTATATATTAGCTATATTTTATCAAAACGAATATATATGCAAAATTTGTGTTTTTTTTGTACATGAAAGGAAAAACAATAAAAAAAAATTATTTTTGTTTTTTTCCAGGTAAAACAAAAACATTCTTAAAAACAATACTTGTGTAAAATGTTATGAAAAAATATTAATAAGAAAATGCATGTCTGCAGTGGGAATGTTGTTGCCTTCTAAGCATTTTTCATGTGATTGTGTCAGTTTTTTGTTTGTGTGGAGTTCGTGACTGGAGCTCCTGTATTCCTCATCTGTGAACAGATCAAGGAGGAGAAGAAGCCTCCAGCCGCCGCCGCCGCTACACAGCCTCCTCCTCCTCTCTCCGCCGTCCCTGGAGGATTCCTCAAACAGCTGGTGAGAGAGACAGAGAAAGAGACGCGCCACAAAGAGCCAGAGCTCAAGGAGGAGAAGACGGTGAGATCTCACTTCACTGGGTGGGATTCTGCTGGAAAAACCTGGTGAAAAAGTGGGCTATTTTAACACTGAAGCGGGTGGTTCCATCTTCCAACCAACTTGACCAAGATGATTTACCTGATGCCAGACACAATATTCTTCAGAATAACATTCTTCGTAACTGCTATCTAACTTTAAAAATGTTTTGTATTCCCAAAAACATTACTTAAATGTTCAAAAGACAAAACTTAGGAACAATTTAAATTCCTGAAAAGAATGTTCTTAGAATGTGTGAATTCCTGAAAAGCTGAGTTAAATAACCTCTAGGTTCAGATAACATCCAACCTGTCTTAAAGGGGTCATATGATGCGATTTCAAGTTTTCCTTTCTCTTTGGAGTGTTACAAGCTCTTGGTGCATAAAGAAGATCTGTAAAGTTGCAAAGACTAAAGTCTCAAAACCAAAGAGATATTCTTTATAAAAGTTCAGAGTCAACCACGCCTACCTAAAACGGCTCGTTCTAACACGCCCCCACATGTCTACGTCACTATGTGGGAAGATTTGCATAACGCCGCCCAAATGTTCACGCAAAGAAAGAAGGTGTAACTTTGATTCTCGCTGTAGTATTGTTGCTGCCGCCATGTCGTGAAGACGCTGTGTGTTTCGTTGTGAAAGCGAAACTACTTCGTTTGGTCTTCCAAAAGAGGACACAACTAGAAATCAGTGGTTAAGTTGTATTTACAACACTGTTCCAGAACAGTTCCACCCAAATATTCAGATGTGTGCAGCACATTTTATGGAGGACTGTTTCCTGATCCTGGGAGAGTAGACTACAATGCCGGCTGTTCTGACTCACAGTCTGTAAGTACGTTTTCATATTTAAAGGATTTGCCACTGATGATTCAAACGTGAGTTTTGAGCAGTGTAGAGTAGCACTTGTTGTTTGTAATTTCTCCGATCACAAATGCAGACAGAGTTTTGTGTTTACGCGGCGCAATGCAACGCAACGCGTAAAAAGACAGTATAAGTCATTATAATCAGTAATTATGTCCCCACTGGATTCAACAAATGCCTCGTTTATAATGGGTTTTAATGTTTTTGTCTCGTAGCTCTGGCCTGACAGGGCATCACAGTATGGTAAGGGGTGTAACATTTCCGTCACACACTTGAGGTATTCGGCCAATCACAACGCACTGATAGCTGGCCAATCAGAGCACACCTAGCTTTTCAGACCAATGAGCTTTGTAAAAATCGACACGTTTCAGAAAGGTGGGGCATAGAGGAGAAACAATAATGTACAGTATGTGGAAGATAATGTTTTTTTTTTTACCTTAAACCGCATAAACACATTTCATTACACCAAATACACAAAATAATGTTATTTTTAGCAACATCATATGACCCCTTTAAATCTCTAACGGTAAGATGTTTAATGACTTTATTATTTTAAATTATTAAGCAACACAACATGACATATACAGAAATACATGAATATAAGAAAAAATAGAATGTTCTTAGAAGTATTATTTTAAGAATTGCATTTTTTCAAATTTATAATTTATCTTATCTTAGTCTACAGTACACTATAAAGATGCTCTAAAGAAAATTGTGAAATGAAGAATGTTTCTATACAAACTTAACTTCTTTCTTAAGAAAAGCAAGATGTTCTTTTAAAATATTAGCAAATTTCAATAATTATGCTTAAGAAAATTGTTACGAACTTAGAATATTTTTCATGGATTACACTTAGAAATTCTTAGAATTCATCTTAAGAAATGTCTCAACTTATTAAGATTAAACAATGTCAAAACAATGTTTGTTAAAAACAAAAACATTTCAAGAATTGCAAGAATTTGAATTGTTAGAATTGATATTAAGAAACGACTTACCTTTTTCCTTAGGACAAACAAATATTTAAGAACTTGAGAATTTTTCAAGAATTTCAAGAACATTGTCACAAAATTATCTTAAGAAATGTCTTAACATCTTCCTCAAGAAAAATATTGTTCTTAAAATATTAGTGACGTTTTCAAAAATGACACTTATGAGTATTCTTATTAACTTAGAATTTGTCTGTGTGTATATATATATATATATATATATATATATATATATATATATATATATATATATATATATATACAGTGGGGAAAAAAAGTATTT